GATCCATTACAAAAGAAGAAACTGAAAAGATAACAGAACAACTTCCAACAACAACAAAAAAACAACCCTGGACTAGATGGTTTTACAAGTGAATTTTATCAAACATTCAGGGAATAATTCTCACCAATTCTACCTAAAGTATTTTAGAAAACCAAAAATATGGAATTTACCCAGACTCATTATATGAGGCAAATATATCCTTCATACCAAAGGCAGGAAAAGACACCACCAAAACAGAAAACTATAGTCCAAAAATCCTAAATAAAATCCTGGCCAACAGAATCCAACAGTACATCAAAAAAATAATTCACCATGACCAAGTGAATTTCATAACATGTTTGCAAGGATGGTTCAACATAAGAAAAACTATCAGTGTAATTCATCACATTAACAAAGCAAAGACTAAGAACTACACGATCCTATCAATTGATGCAGAAAAGGCCTTTGACAAAATCCAAGACCTTTTCCTGATTAAAACACTCAACAAAATAGGAATAGAGGGGAATTTCCTCAACATAGTAAAAAGTATATATGCAAAACCAAAAGCAAACTTCATTCTCAATGGAGAGATTAAAGGCATTGGAAGTCTTAGTAATAGCAGTAAGACAAGAGAAGGAAATAAGAGGTATCCAAATGGCAAAGAGGAGGTAAAATTTGTATCTCTATATGCAGATGATATGATAGTATACTTGGTAACACTAAAGACTTAGCAAGGAAACTACTGGACATAGTTAACTAGTACAGCAAAACGCCAGAATACAAGATCAAGACACAAAAATCAACTAGATTTCTCTACAGTGACAAAAATAATACACAGCTAAGAAAAACAATACCCTTCACAACAGCTTATCACAAGATTAAATACTTGGGAGCAAATATAACCAGAAATACTAAAGACATATTCAAAGAACATTACAAAACATCACCATAAGGAACAGAGAGAGACCCGGAGAAATGGAAAGATAGACCGTGCTCTTGGATAGGAAGACTCAATAGTACGAAAATGACAATTCTTCCAAAGGCAATCTACAAATTTAATGTAATCCCAATACAAATACAAATTCCATTCTTCAACTTCATGAAAAAGCAATTTCTAATTTCATCAGTAATGGAAAGTGACCCTGAAAAGCAAAGCACTCCTGAAAAAGAGAAACAAGGTAGGAGGCATCTCATTCCCTAAACTCAAATCCTACTACATAGTTGTAGTGGTCAAGACAGCATGGTACTGGTACAATGACAGATAGATCAACAGAAAAGAACTGAGAACCTAGAATCACATCGACCTATGATCAACTGATTTTTGACAAGGCGATCAAATCAGTTAAGTGGGGAAATGAAAGGCTAACTAACAAATGGTGCTGGCAAAACTGTAAAACTATCTTTAGAAGCTCAAGCAAGACCCACACCTCACATCATACACAAGAACAAACTCAAAATTCATCAAGGACCCAGGAGTTAAAATGAAGGACTAAACTTCATCAGAAAAAATCTTGGAAGAACTGTAGAAGCCCTAATTTATAACATGAAAAGTCTCCCCAGCATCTTGAAAAACCTGTAACTAGGAGAAAATAAAATAGATGCATGAGGTCTTCTAAGAATCCAATCCCCATGCACATCAACAGGGTAAAAAGGAAAGCCACAGACTGGGGAAAAAATATTTGGTAATGACATGTACGATAATGGACTTATATCTAGAATTTATAAATACTCCAGCACTTCAACAAGACAAAGGTAAACAACCCTATTGCAAAATAGACACAGAATATGAAGACACTTCACCAAAGACATTCATATGGCAAACAAACACATGAAGAAATGTTCAAAATCCCTAGCTCTAAGAGAGATGCAAATCAAAACAACTATGAGATACCATCTTACCCCAGTAATAATAGCAACAGGGTGGCAAACAACAAATGCTGGTGAGATTACAGGGAAACTGGAACCCTTTTTCACTGTTGGTGGGAGTGTAAAATGGTGCAACCACTCTGGAAGGCAGTACAGCACTTTCTCAGAAAGTTGGAAATAGAAATACCATTTGACCCAGCAATTCCACTTCTAGGAATATACCCTAAGGAAACCAGAACTGTCACCCAACAGATATATGCACACCCATGTTTACTACCACGTTGTTCACAACAGGAAAGAGATGGAAGCAACCTAAATGCCCATCAACAAACTAATGGATAGAGAAGCTATGGTATATTCACACAACGGAACACTACGCACAACTGAAAAACAAGGAAATCAAAAAACATTACACAAAATGGGTGACTATGGAGGACATTGTTCTGAGTGAAATATCTCAGTCACAAAAGGGCAAATAATGCATAATGCCAGAGTTATAAAACAGGAGTGGACTGGGCTGGACACTAAGAAAAGGGGATAAATAATGAACACTGCATTGAAACAGATGAGGGAAAGAACTGCCTAGAAGAAATACATGATCAGGTATTATGTGCATGACAACAGTCCAGAATAAGAAGTGCACAACAAAATGGACTAGGGGAGGGAGAAAAAGGAAACAATGAAAAGAATCTTTTTAAAGAGAAAAGTGAAGGGGCAGGAGTAGGGAGGAAAATGTACAACAATGAATGAATAGAAATGTAAGTTTTCTGTCAACTTCTGATAAAACATTAAAAAATAAAGATACAGCTAAAAAACAAAGGGTGCAACATGAGCCAGAATACTCACATTTATTATTTATTGCTGCACCATTTATAATAGCAAAAAGTTGTAAATCAGTGTCAAAAAAGGGAATTAGGATATAATACCAGTAAATCTAAAAAAAAAAAAAAAAAAAAAAAGGTTTAGACAGAGAATCAATCTTGCAGATTAAGAGAGATGAGAATTGATGGAGAGGGGAGCAGAAAGGAAAGGGAGGGAAAATCACATTCACGATTTTTTAACATATTGCTGCAAGTGACGCAATGTTTCCCCGTTAAATTTTAAAAGTGTGGGGCAAACAAAGGAAACATTTGGGACAGGTGATAGAGATGGGGTGGGAAGCAGAGTGGCCTCATTAATTTCTAACAAAACAGACGTCAATGCAAAAAGTACCATAAGAGGTAAGAAAGGACAAGAAAACATAAATTAATGCCTACACATTCAAAATCAGAGGGTCCCCCTCCCACATATAAAACAATTTAACAGAGCTAAAAAGAGAAAGACAACTACATAACAATAGTGCTGCTGTTAGGTACCATCTAGGAGACTAAGACTCACATCAACCCTATGAACAATGTAGCTGGAGCCTGCTCTAACTTATGCCACCCTTCACCACCTCTGAGACTCTTAAACCCATAGTTACAGTCAATATCCATCCATCTTCAATTGTTTGTTCGGAACATCTGACAGATATTCAGTATTTTTCTGCAGCACTGCAACTTAAAAAGCATCCATTCTTCCTCTCATCTTTATTCACTGTCCAACTTTCAGATGCAAAGCAAGTAACTGAAAAGATCATGGTTTGAATCAAATGCATCTTTGTCTTTAAACTGACACCGTTGTTCCTTAATACCTTGGAGGGAACCTGGACAGTGGACAGCAGATTTTCCCTAGTGTTGGGTTCGAAGGGGTTCACGGTGGATGCAAGAAAGATGAAATTGTTGAATTTTTTTCACCTATTATGATTTGTCCTTTCTCCACTGGTGAGAATTTCTGTTTTCTTCATACTGAAAATTAATCCATACTTAAAGTTGTGATCTTTGATTTTCTGCAACAAACTCTTCAAGTACTCTTTGCTTTCATCAAGCAAGGCTGTGGCATCTGCATAATACAAGTTGTTGAGTTCTCCAGTAATATTGATGCCACATTCTTCTTTGTAAAGTCCAGCTTCTCAATTTAGCATACAGACTGATTAGGTATAGGTATGGCATCACAGGACAGACCTTTCTTAATTTTAAACCATTCCATGTTCTCTAGCTCTGTTCAGTTTCTTGGTGTAATTTCACATGAGCATAATTAAGTGGTCTGGGATTTCTAGTCTTCTCAAAGTTAGTCATAGTCGGTTATTATTCTTCAATCAACGCATTATGACAACCAACTAAACAGTTAACACTAAAGTGACTTTTAAGACACTTTATTTGCCTAATGTAAACTATAAATTTGTAAAAATATCAGAAAATTAGTAATTTTAAAATAACCTTATTATCTTTTAAGAAAGTCTTATTACATATTAAATAAGCTATAATACCTGAATTACTACAAGGAAGATTATCTAAAACTAATTTTGAGAAGACATTAGCAAATTGTTAGAATTTTGGAAAGCATCAGGTTAGGAAGAAAAAATTCATTTCCCCATTTAATGTGTTACACAAAACAAATTTTACATTATGTTAAACATACAATGAAAGGGAAAAAATCTCACTAAGAGCTGTAATAAACTATTTACAGCAGCGTATTCCTGTTTTTATATCAGAGCAACAGCTACGATCAAGATTCTGAAACATAAACAAAAAAATTATCAAGATACAAATAGAAAAAAAAAAAGATACAAATAGCGTCCTTGAAAGACCAAGCTTTATGATAATTCCCAATAAAAATAATTCCTAAAAAACTCCCACCCTATATTTTTTTTTTAAATTTTCACTGACAATATAGCTAGCAGAAGCAGAAGTGGTATCCACTTCCTAAGCAACCTGCCTTTGGAAACACTTAGACAAATGCAGCTATTTGTAGAGGGGCTTCAGTTCATAGGGTCACTATGAGTCGTGCTCAACTCCAAGGCAATCAACAAACAATATAGCTAACAATCTATCTAGTTATTTAGTGAAAATAAGCACCTTGTTCACAATGAAGTCCTGTCACCTCAGAGCACTTTTAAAATGTTCATTGTGCTTGGATTTAACTGCTTTTTCAGAGTTAACATGAATTAACAAAACCTGCCATATTTCTTAAGTCTAAGTGTCATGCATCATCACAAAAGCATTGTCTTTTTTAATTCCAAGATAGAAGATCAACAGATGAGATTTTTTTAGAGGGAAAAATATAAGTTGAGATACCTGTTTGAATCTTGACTCTGTGTAGTTTGGATGTGAACTGATCATTAACTGTAAATATGTGACCATTTTCTATCTCCTTTGACTTGGGTTCTTTTGTGAGAACCCGCTGTGTTGGTTTGCCACAGGCCAGGGACTGCAGGGCTCTAACAAGCTCTCTTTCAGGAATATCAGTCTCTTGTTGAATTTCCTGAAATGTACCAGATTAACGTAATTAGAAATCTATGGAAGATCAAAATGGATTAGTTAATTAACAAGTAAAACTGACCAAGCAATCTTAGCCCACTGTTGTAGACTGTCTCATACTAAATCCTAAGAGTAAAACTGACCCATTTTCCCCCCAAGACTATTAATCTTAATGGAAACAGACTGCTACATCGGTCTCCTTCTCAAGCAGTTGGCAGGTTCTAACTGTAAACCTTTTTTGTAAACTGCGGAGCACTTTAACCACAACATCACCAGGATTCCTTGTAAGTAATAATTAGCAGAGACATTCATTAAATTTAAAATAGGATTTTTCTGAATGACATTTCACTAGACTCTCCCGTATTTGAAAAACTAAAGGAAAAGGTGATTCAAATTCTCACATCTTTCAAATACATGCCAATATTTAGCTTGGTTACTTACAGGGGACAGAATTTCTATTATAAAATGTCATAGGAAAGATTATTAAGAATTTATTTTAACCTTTAGGCAAATAACTGATTTTAGAAATATTTTTCAGTCATCCTCCTAAATTTATCCACACTACTTTCTTACTACTTCTTGCACAGAAACACAAATTTAAGGGTACAGTCGGAGTGCTTTTTGGAGCCAAGAATGATGAGGCTTTGTTTTGCCTCCCATACTCTGGGCATGTTGCTAGAAGGGGCTATTTCTTGAAAAGTGTTGGGAAAGGTGGAGGGTTGGTGAAGACACGACCCTCAACCAGGTGGATTGACGCAGGATAGAACAGGGTTCTTTTTTGTTCATAGGGTTGCTTTGAGTTGTACTCAAGGACAACACTTCATTCAATGATGTTTACATTTCCAGTTAATCTGTTTTTACTTGTGGCCATGACCAAGTTAAAAGAAAAATGAAGACACCTAGTAATTAAAGGAGCCCTGGTGGTACAGTCTATAGAGCTGTACTTACATCCCTTGATAACTCAAAGAAAATGCCTCTTTGGCATTTCAAATCAACTTCCACAGGAGAAATATTGGTAGTCTCCTACAATGTGATGTATATAGCCTTGGAAACTGGCTGGCTAGAGGGTCATCTCTAAGTTGGTATGAAATTACTGGCAATTAATTTGAGGCTTTTATGGATTTGCTGTGTTTTTCTAATTAACATGATGCGTAAAAATACATTTTGAAACCCAGTAATTTTTCCCAGGGCTTACTGCATAAATAAAAACCCACTTGGGGAGAGAACGCTATGTAATTTTCCATTTACTACACACCTTGACCTTGTGTCAGGAAGACAAGAGTACTGGACACTGGCATCAGTCAGTCCTACCATGCTGACATGGTTAGTGAATATGTCCTGACACAAGGATACACAGCTATGTGTCAGGGTATGATCCAGACAGAGTGATTCTCTCTCAAGAGTACTCTCAGGAGGAGTGGCATGATAATGGTGCTGCTCAGTTTATGTAACTTCTCTCCAGAGTCACCTCACACTTCAAGAGTCTTAGGGGTGCTCTCTCAACCACTGTCAGAGAGCTTAAACATTTACAAAATTTAAGGGCTGGGGGTGGGGTGGAATCTCTTCTATGTGTTATTTACGTTTTTAGTACCAAACATATCAATTTTAGCAAATTACAGTTTATATTATTTCTCAGAATGGTGATTATAATTACTCTGCATATACTAAGTGACTTATTCACATGTTGTAGTAATGGACCTCAGACCGAAATGCCTTAGGAGATATTTTAAAATTATAATTGATCCTTAAGATAATCACTGAAGCTCATTTGCATCTTTTTATGACTTTTCCTTGATATTTACATACCATTCATGAATACTAGACAGAATTAACTGTTTATACATGAACCTACTACCCTATTCATCAGGAGCAATTACTTTCCTAGTTTAGGAAATAGAGGCTTAAGCTACAGGGAAATCCAGGGTGGGTAGACATGTGTTTGTGTGTTCATGTAACATGTTTATTACTGAGTATAAAAGCCAACTTTATGGAAGAAGTTTTCTAGAAATACAATCTATTTTCAAAGGTTGAAAATTTTTATTTGCTAGATATGTGCAAACTCCCTTCATGATGCTCAGTAGTTTAACTTCAATAGCAAAATACTTATTGGAGTATCCGTTCCCTTACAAAATCTTCACTAGTGGATAGTCCATTTCTTTTGTCCATCTGGTGGGTTAAATAACAATAGTATCTCATTATCTTATATACTTGCATGTTATCTAAAAGACCACTAAGAATTTGCAAAGTCAAGTGATAAGCTTTTAAAGGAAATATTCGCAGCACAAATAGCATCTGGCAAAGAGCTTGTATTCAGAAATTATAAAGGGCTCATAACACTAAATAATCATACAGCAAACAAAAAAATCTGGACGTGTCAATCAGATGAACTAGTTTAAAAGGTTTAGAATTTTTTTTATTAAAAACTAAAACATACACTCACTCCTCAACCCACTAATTCCACTCTCAAGTATTTATTCAAGAAAAATGACAACTTAAAAGTCTATAAAAAAAAGACTTAAGACATATTCATAAGTGCTTTAACTCTTAATATCACATTCCAAAATCTGAAAACTACTATGTATCACTAGGTGTGTATCTAATATGCAATACATCTCTAATACGTAATTAGTATCCTATCTAATACATTTCACTAGGAATGAACAAGAAAACCTAGTGTATCTATCTAATAGATTATGTCAATAAAAAAAAATAAACTACTCATATCATGTTTAAAAGTATGGTTAAAAAAAAATAAAGTGACCTGGAAAAGCAATACACTCATGGTAGATGTGGTATGATTCCATTTATCTGAAAATCTAAAAGGGTCAGAGCTATCACAATGACATGAAGCAAATACAGGGTAGTTGTGTAGGGGTAGGAACTAAAGTCAAAGGGCACAAAGAAATCTTTTGCCTAATATTTATTATCTAGATCTTATTTGGTGCAGTTTTTTTTCTTTAAGTATGCAGGGACATTCTAAAAGTTACTAAAATAAGACTGATAACCAAAATTCGTACCTCAAACGTGTATTTTTCTCTATTATTAAAGAGCATTAATATAGTCATCTGGAAAGTGGAGACTTGCAATATATGCTTCCGTGTATTAGAGCCAGTGACTTGAGCGCCTCCAACACCAACTTCAGATCCATCTTCCTGTTGCATTTTTAAAATGACATAAGCAAGATATGATTACTTTCTGGTAATTTTAACAATGTTTCAGTTAAACTCTGCAATTTTCATACCTTTTAATAAAATTAACTTATTCTAGAAAGAGAAAATAGTATTAATAATGCAACTATCAACTGAATATTAAGTGCCCTGATCTTGGCTCCAATTCACACAACCTTGTATACAACACAAGATTTTGCTCAATCCTGAATCATCCTTACAATCTTTACCATGTTCAAGGACATCCTATGACTCGATCTCACTGCAGACCTCTCTCTCCTTCGCTGGGCCTCCATTTTGACCAAATACTGTCTTTTTTGAAGGCTTGGCCTCCTCCTGACAAAATGTCCAGAACAGGTGAGGTAGAGTCTCCCCATCCTTGCTTCTAATGAGAACTCTGGCTGCACTTCCTCCAAGACAGGCCTCTGTTCTGATCCATGGTCTATTTAAACTCTTTGCCAATAACACAATTCAAAGGCTTGAATTCTTCTACAGTGTTCCTTAGTCTTTACCCAACATTCACACGCACACAAAGTAACTGAAAATACCATGGGGTTCGGGTCAGGTGCCCCTCAGTCTTTTAACTGTTACTATAATAAGCACATTAATGAATAGAAATATATCATTTTTAACTTTCAAACATTATTTAAAAAATATAAAATACTAAAGCTCATACATTAAAATGTTTTGAAATTATTGTATTTCTTGTTATTAGGTACCACTGAGCCAGTCCTGTGTCATGGTAACCCTACACACAATAGAACTTGGGACGCACCCTCCAGATCACTGTTTCGAGCCTACTGCCGCAGACATTGTCAATCCGTATTTTTGAGGATCTTCTTTTTTCTACTGATCCTGTAACTTTACCAACACTGTACCTATCTTTCTCCAGCAACTGACTTCTTCTAGTAACATGTCATTCTGGCTATACTTCATCCAAGAGAGAATGTTTGTTCTCTGGCAGGTCACAGTATGTTAGCTATTTTTCAACAGCTTCTTAATTCAAATGTAACAATTCCTCAGGTTTTTTGGCTGAGAAGTCTCTATACAGATTATGAAGCAACTGGCACAGGTCGAGGTACTTTAGTATTCAAGGTGACATCTTTGTATTTTAACAATTTAAAGAGCTCTCTTGCAGGATTTCCAACATAATGTAAGTCTGATTTTCGGACTGTTGCTTGCATGGGAGATGATTGAAGAACCACATAAAATAAAGACCTCAATAATTTTTTGTTTATCATAATGTGGCTTTATTTTTTTTTCAGACAATCACTTTTATTGCTTCACTGTAAACATTTTTAGATATCTGATCAAGTGTTAATCAAAATTTCTTTACATTAAAATTTAAAACTACTTTAAGAGTATTTAAAAGAATAATGGGCCTATTTATCGATCCATGTTCTCAATGTCAGTTGTTGTACGCCATCAAGTTAGTTGGAAACTACTCACAAATGAGCCTCCAGCGGGTTTTCAGAGGCAGAAATTACATGGGAAGACAGTGCTCATCCTTCTCACGCAGAGCAGCTGGTGGGTTCAAACCAAGAGCCTTTGAGAGTCTAGTGCTGTTTCTTACCACTAGTCCACCAGAGCCCCCTTAAAAGCATACCAAAGGAGAGTAACAGATTTGTATTATTGACCTGTGTTCTTAATGCCAGTTCCTACTCAATGATTTCAGAGGTATAGGCATTTCCTTAAGCTTTCAATTAAGACGACAGAGATGTTTTAAAATCAGATCTACTCAGTAAAATGGCTTTAAAAGATTAAATAAAGGTAATTCATTGACACAAAGCCAATTTTGAAATAAGGACTTCAACAATTTATTAATCTCAGAAATCGCCAGTATGAGCTGATGGTTTTCATTATTAGAAACAGGGATTACAGAATACTAAAAATAATGAAAAGGTCCCAAGTCTTTGTACGCTGTAGGCAATTAACAAACACATTCATTTTTTAAGTTTTACCTATTAATTCAATATGGTCAAGTCTAATACAAAAATTTACTTATCCAAATACAATTTATTCCTTAAATGATTAATGGTGGAAGTGTTCATATTTTTAAATGAAATTAGCAAATATGGAAATGGGAGCCCAAAGGCAAAAAAACTTCCCCTTTTCAATACCTGAAACAGTAAAACAAGAAATATATTTGTATGTGTGTGTGTGGTGTGTTTATATCACATTAGCAGGTTACTCAGGTCAACATAAATTTTAAAAACAGTAGTACAGACAAATTCTAAGTTCTCTAACAGAAAAAAGTTAAAACTTCCAATAGTTACCTTTTTTACTGGCCCATAAAAGGTAGCATTGAGATCTGCAGAACCCATATGATGTTGGAGTGTAAGCTGTCGGCCACTGTGTTTGGCTAAATAAAACCTTTGGCAAATCAAAAGCAGATTTTAGAGTCATACAGTTTTCATATCTAAAACTACAAACTACAGAGTAACACACATTCTCTCTCTCTTCATATATATAAAGACTTAGGTAGTACACAAAATCATTTCTACTGAAACACTTGGTTCTTGGCCTGCTGCTCAGTTATTGCTCTTCTTTAAGAGTATGGTTATGTCAAGCTCTGGTGGCCTAGTGGCAAGAAGCTGCACTGCATTTCCAGAGGTGCATGGTTCAAATCCACCAGATGCTCTGCTGGAGAAGGAGGGACAATCTCCTCCTGTACCAGTAAGATTTGATTTGATGATACACACCAATTAGTAATAATAATAGTAGTAGTAGTGTCATTCTGCAAAATAACCCAATAAATGATTTGACCTAAACCAGTGTCATCTTGTTAGCAGTACCAAATATGTACCTTGCAAAACAGGTACATTACTGAACAAGGACATTAGCACAAATGTCCCTCTTAAGAAAATTTTATGGACATTCTCATATATTAAAAGAATAAACAATAGTTCCTTTTGAAGACATAGTAAAAAAAAAAAAAAAAAGGAATATATTCCTATCTTGTAAAGGTATTTTATTAACACTCAGTTATTTTAATGAGCAACAATTATTTACCCTCAGAAATACAAAGTCTGATTTAGGTTTACCTTCTAAATATTTCAAATGCATGTCTTGGTGCTGGTGGGATGTTGCACTTTGGTGTGGCCGACTGGGTGGGCCAATATCCTGTCGTGAGCACCCTGACCGTAAGATCAACACCACCTAAAGATACCTACAGAAAGTGGAAGGACATAATCCTCTTAAATTCGTCACAACTTTTCTATCTGTTCCACTTAGGTACTATGTCAGATTGAGTAAATTAGTAGCATCATAAAGGAAAAGTCAGTCTTAGCTAGTAAATAAACAGGTCTTCTTAGTGGTTAGACTCATGCAGTGTTTTCCAAATTTTAACTACCCTGGCAAATAGTTAAGTTGTTTTCTAAGATGTTAGCTTAAAAATATTGACCATCCAGAAAGATTTTTAAGACATATTCTCTATGTATTTATAATTTATTTAAAAAGGATAGAGTTCTCAAAACTTAAACAAAATTTAACCGGAACAACTGAGTCTGTTGATAAAATGTTAAGGGCTCTCACACCAGTATTATTTTAGAATTTCCTCTCACCTGTTTTAAATACTTTTGCCATCATAACACATATACAAACATTCCTCATTTTCTGTTTATGCACATGCTTCACATGAAGTTCATTTTACATTCTAACGATCTCTGTGGAGAGCACTATGGACAAAGTGCCACACAATACGTGCTCTAGAACCATCTGTAATGTGGGTGACTGATCCTTGAAAATACATGCTACCATCACAGCCACAAGAGAAACTTCCCTTTTTAAAGAAAATGAATTCTTATACAAACAATAAAGTGCATTAACAGAAACTCTTAAGGTGAAGTCTTATCAGCATTCACCACTTGTTGTCAAACTTTAGTCTACTTTTATGTAAAAGATAAAGTAATTTTAAGTTTTTTAAAATTGTGTTTGTGTGGGTTTTTTAAAAATCCACATTGTGTTTCTTATGATCATTCTCACACACTGTGTCTTACACAATAATTTAGAATGGCTGGTAAGTGAGAATGATACCTATCAAGAAGCACATTTAACAGGGATTTTTTTTCTCAACCACTCCGCATTTGGAGACGGAGACTAGTAACCTCAGATGTTTCAAATGGACAGAGATGATTTTTTTTGAGGGGTGGTAGAGAAGCACTCTCATTCTTGTAAGTGGGGGTATAAGTGCCATAAATTAACAGTTAAGTCTACTCAATACTTATCAATATCTATGAAACCTACTCCAGAATTTCAGAGATAAACATAAGAAAGTCTTTAAACTCTCTCATATACAAGTAATAACTCCCTCACCTACTCTGTCTTTCCATAACATGTCTGTGGGGAATTTTAAGAAATGAGGACTTCTTTGACCACTCTTTTCTGCTACAGATTTTCTTCATACTTCACCTAAGAGGTTATATATTTATTTATCTATTATCTCCTTCTATCATCTCCTTCCCTGACTGGAATGACAACTCTTTCAGGCAGGTATTTTTGTATGTTCTAGATTCAGTGTCTAGAGTAATTCCTAGGGGGGGAAAAAATCATGGATGATTTGTTAAATGTAAATTTCATTAAATGAATACATATGGTATTACTATATTCTTATAATATAGGCATGTCAGGGTACTGTCTTCTCTTTTTTTAAAATAAAGAGAGAAGTAGACACTTAAAATTTTTTAGTAGCATGAATAAGATTTAAAAAAATATTTTTAAAGTATTTTGTTTCAATTATCTCATTAATAATAGCAAAATATTAAAGAATGTCAAGGTTATTTTTTTCTATAATTATATTTTATTAATTTTCATAAACATTTACAGAGATTTTGGGCTTCCACTCATTCATTGTTGCACTATTCTCTCTACCCTCCTCCCAGTTTGTTCTTGTCCAAATGCCACAGTGCTTGTAATGTCAAGGTTATTTATGTTGATTTTACATATAAAAATACTGAGGCAGAGGAAGGTCAGTTAACTATCCCAAAATAACACAATCACAACACTAAGGGAAAAGCAGAATATTAAAAATTGGCATACTCTATGTTCAATATTCTTTGCAATCTATTCTACTGATTCAAATTTCACTGCATTCCTTCACACATGGAAGGAACTCTGGTGGCCTAATGCTTAAGGAGTTGTGCTGCTAACCCAAAATCCTACAATTTGAATCCACCAGCTGTTCCACTGGAGAAAGATGGGCAATCTCCTGTGTGATTTACAGCCTCTGAAAAGCCACTGAAGGCTCAGCTATCAGTCACTTCTGACTTGACTGGCAAATAACAAGGGAAAGACTAGAAAAAGTAAGAGAAAAATGTCTATTTAGAGATAAATATCAGTTTATGTTGCCATTGATTAGCATTTAAAGAAATGACAGAGAAGTGCAGTCACTATAAGTGCTACGTGGATGAAAACGTAACTGCCGATAAACATATGTACAGCAAACAAGAAAGAAACATAGATCCTTACCCCAGTTGCCTGTAAGTGTTGCCTGAATTCATCCATAGTTGTGTTTGAGATGCTCATATCCCTAAACATTCCTTCCAGTTTTGATGTGAACTGACACCCACATTCAGTCTGTGAAGGGAATAAAATATAAAAAAACCAAAAACAAAACCAAACAAACAAACAAACAAACAAACCAAACAAACCAATGTGAGACTTTTCTTAGGGAGTGTGGAGGTGGAGGTGAAGAGGGAAAGGAAGGGAATCCTATCACTGCCATACTGAAAATCTCTTACTCAATCTTTCAAATGGCTGTTCTATGCCTATGGCTATCAAACTCTAGTGTTTTATTTCAAAATACACATTCCTAAGACTCTCTCAAATGCTAATACACACATCCCATCCTGCCCCAATAAATGGAAGGACCCCGAACCCGAGTTTCTAAAGAGCAAGCACCTCAAGGATTAGAAGTAATCTTATGAATTACACTTTTTGAAAAAGAACTATATGGAATTATTCTCTTTATAGCTTGCCTCTAAAGAGTTGAATAGAAGATTTCAAAAGGCAGCACGGGATGACAAAGCGAAGGCCCTCTATGAGGTGGACTGATTCAGTGAATGGGATAATTGGGATGGGAGTGTCAGAGACAGTGCATTGGCACAGGACAGAGCGGAGTTTAGGGCTGTTGTACATAGGGTCGCTATGAGCCGCAGGCGACTCGACGGCACATAACAAGAACAACAACAACACAGCTTGCCTTGTACTCCTCCCTCAGACATTCATGAATGTATTCTGCCACATTAAGAGATAGCTCAACAGGGGAGCTCTGGTGGCCTAGTGGTAAGGAGCTGCAACTACAGTCCTAGAGGCACACGGTTCGAATCCACCAGATGCTCTGCCAGGGAAGGAGGGACAATCTCCTCCTGTACCAGTCAGATCTGATTTGACGGTACACACAAAAATAATAAAATTTAAAAGAAAAAAAAGAGATAGCTCAACAGACTCTGAATATCCCAGAACTTGAACAAATCAATGTACAGTCTACATCCAGCTAAAAAATAATCACTCTTTATTAATTTCTAGAAATAAAAAATTTTAAATAATTTATAATACCACTGGTGTTCAAGCATGTGATCATGTTTTTGTTGCATTTTACGTTTATACCTTACCTTTAACTTAGATATCATATTTTTTTCAGAGTCATCAGAAACACTTTTATTCGTGAGAAGTCTCCTTGCCAAGTGTTGTTTATAGTAACGTTCAAATACATCTTTTTCTTGCATAAACCTAAAAAGGACCATTGCCTTATCCAGTATTGTTTCTACTTCTTGTTCTGTTAGCTGCAGAATTAATTAAAAGAAAATTTAGTTATTAAAGTTTAATTTTATAACCCAGCACTGTAGTTTACAAATAATAGTTTTCAAAACAATTATCTAGGGGATATATGACAGAAGGGATTTGCTTTAAAAAAACTAGTTCATAAAGCACAACTCTTTCATCTTCATGTCAGGAGGGGTTACAATATTATTTTATTTTCTATGGACTATTGCTGAAATTGAGGCATGCTGTGATATAGAGAGGGCTGTTTTAGGATGCCTGAGACAGATGAAATACAATTTTATAACAAAAAAATATAAGGTCTTTGTAGTATATTTAGTCCAAAACATACAAAAACCCACACACAACCAACCAACAAAACAAACCCACAGCACTGTATTACTGTGAAGTCAGAACCTATACATGGCTCATCTCCCAGTGGGTCTTCTGAGGCCCTAAAGTGCACAAGAGAAGACTACATCTTCCTCCCTCAGAGCAGCTGGTGGTTTCCAACAACCAGACAGGCGTAGTCTCAGGGAGAGCAGAATTACTCCCTGTGGACTCTGCCCAGAGCCGAAACAAGAGTATTTTCATTTAAACACATTGAAAATTGAATTCTTTTTTCTTTAAAAACAAACAAACAAACAAACAAAACACAACAAAACCAACAAGCAATAGATTAATGCTCTTTTAAATGAGGATAAGATGGTACAGTGGAACTTGTTGTCGTTAAATTGTACAAGCATATATTTAAGAAATAGAGACGATTTAAATGCCAGTGCATGAACAGTCTTCCCCACTCTGTATGTTTGCTGATTTTCTTGGTTTGGGGAAGGAAGGGATTGTTGTTGTAGAGCTGCTGTTTGTAAACCTGGTCATTCACTGTAGTTCTCTCATCTAGGATAAAGTGATCATGGGCATGTATGACGTTCAACGCTTCCATACGCTTCCAAGATCCCAGATGTACACACACACACACACCCCCTCCCATCTCACTCCCTCTTAAGGTTAAAAAATGATCTTTACTATTGTTAGCTGCCTTCAAGTCGAATACATCTCACAAAGACCTTCTATGAACAACAGCTATAAAACCTTGTCCTATTTTGTGTCACCCTCATTTCTGACATACTCGAACCCACTGCAGCAGTCTATCAATTCATCTAGTTGAGGGTCTTCCCATCGTGCATCAACACTTCACCTTTCTAAGCACGATGTCCTTCTCCAAGGAAGAGCCTCTTCTAGCAACATGCCCAAATATGAGAGACAAAGCTTTATCAACTTTGTCTCCAAGGAGCACTCTGGCTGTACTTTTTCCAAGATATACCTAGCTATTCTCCTGGCGGTCGCTGGGATATTCAGTACTCCAAATACTCTTCACTTGCCATCTTTAGTCACTGTCCAGCTCCCAAAAGCACAGCAAGTGACTGGAAAATAAACCAACCCTGGCCTGACTCAGACGTTCCTTGGTATGTGGCAAGACTGCAGACTCTCCTTACAGAATACTTCCCCTTCTCTCCTAACTGCTGGTACGCCATGTGCTTGCTAACTGTGGATCCAAGTAAGATGACCTCATTGACAGGTTTTCTGCTTCTTCATCTATCAAGATGCTACGCCTATTGGCCCAGTATTGAGAATCTTTGTTTTTCTTCAAGTTGAACTATAATCTTTGATCTTTTGCAGCAACGGCTTCAAGCCCTTCTCCGTTTCGGTGAGCAAGGTTGAGTCATCTGCATAAGGTAGACTGCTGAGGGTCTTCCTCCAAGCCTGATGACATTCATCTTCAAGAATCCTGCTTCTTGACTGATCCATTCAGTGTTAGAATATAACCCTAATGCACACTTTTAAAGACTATAAACCATGCAGGTCCCCCTCATTCTGTTCAGACAACCAACAGTCTCTTGGTCTAGGTGTAAGTTTCAATGAGCATAATGAAGTTTTCTGGATTTATTTTGTATAGCTAGTATTCTAGTCTATGTCTTCAAGTATATGACAATACATCTAAGTATTTAGCAAATAATGTAGAAACTGATGAGAAAAAAAATTAAGTTCTGTGCTACTGATTGTTTTCAAGGACTATCCCAATATACCATAACGGTCCTACTTAAGCAAAATTGTCTTTAGAGATATGTAAAGGTTTAGTTATTAAATTTTTGTCAAAAGCATTAGGTAAGCAACAGAAGTCCAAAGCAGTGGTGGTGGAGGCAGCAGTGGCGTGGACTGTCAAGTCAGAATCGACTCACAGTCAGCTGTGAGCAGGTTTTCACAGGCAGTACATCGCCCGAGAGGAGAATGCCCATCATTCTCTAACAACAGAGCAGGTGGTGTCTTAGAAAAGGCACAGTTCCCTGGAGGTAAAGATAGTGAAACTTCTTCTGACATATACTGGCCATTTTGATGAGAGGTCAGTTCTTAGAGAAGGCCATGTTTGGGAAGGTTGAGGGCCAGCAGAGGAGGAGAAGACTCTCAATGAGATGGATTCACACAGTGACTTCAACGGTGGGCTCAAGTTTGTCAGCTATGATGAGGACAGCACAGCGCAGTATTTAGATCCACTATTCTAGGTCACTGAGTTGAAGGAGACTCGATGGCACCTAACAACAACTACAAGCCCCCAGAGAGCTCCCTGGATTCAAAGCAGCAGCTATAGCTAAATGGATGACTTTTTGTAGCAGAGGACAGGAAGACAGACTTCAGTGCCAGATAGCCGAGCAGGGGAGTTGGACTGGCTGGTAATCAAAATTCAGTCTCTCACATGGATGGCAGGAATGTTGGCAGCATGGCTGAACCAGCACTGATCCATCATTCAGAATCCGACTACTGCTATTAAACAGCCTTGAAGGAAACTCTGGTGGCCTCGTGGTAAACAAATACAGAAGTGAAGCTCTTTGTTTTCGGTACTAACTACATATTAAGTGAAATGTAAACATACTGTAGCCTTTTAAACAATCTTTAATAGACTGAAGCATATAATTAAGTATAGCAAAATGCTATGCACTTACTTTTGTACAAGCAAACCTTGTTACTTTTTTCTTAATAACATAACCTTAATGAAATGCAGTCATAGTCATACTTCTTACCCCTTTGACTCCTTTTTTCAGCTTATCATCAATAAATAATGAGAGGTATTCTGGGGACCTGGAGTTGAGGTTGAGAAAATACTCAAAGTCACCCGCAATAGTTTGTTTAAAGAGCCGGTCATTATTGAACGATTCCTGGAGAAAGCGATCAAATCTACTCTTCAGATCCAATAAGCCCTTACAAATAAAAAGAAATTAAAAACATATTATCTTTCAAAAAATAGTACCCTTGTGATCATGTATGTTTATCTTAACTTTGTTGGTAAATAAATAACAAATATGATTTAAAATTTTCATCTAATCCCTAATAAAGCATCACTGATAAGCATTTTCCATTTATGTATTATACTTATTATTTCTCCCCACTCTCTGGACACCCTGGTTTGAAGGAATTGGTCAACAAGCAGAGAGAAAACTATCTTTTAAATGATGCATATACAAAAGTTGATTACATAATACTAAAGCAAAATAAAAACATCCTTTTATTTTTCATAGTATTATTTCAGACCAAAGCATTTTGAAACAAAAATTATTTAAATAAAAGTTGCTTTAACACTCTAAAGCACATAAATTAAACAAAATCTTCACCATAAGAACTTTCAAAAATGAAAGAATACTTGGATTTAATTCTTTGCTATAGTTCGACATGTCTCTTAAAATTCTATTTAAGATAATTACACATTAATTTATTACTGAGACAAAGATATGTAATAAACAGGTTAGTAAAAGTGTTTTGTTTAGCACTTGGAAAGTTACTTTTCTCTTAAATATTCTGCACTTACTTACCTGGATATAATCAACAGGATTCTTTCCTTCTCCTTCCTCAGAAACGAGGGCTTTACCTTGCTCCCTCAAATAGGAACTCATACACTCACACATTGTTTTCAAACCATTTGGCACACGACTAAATAACTTGTACATGCAAGCAAGGTCTGCAACCAAAGGGGGAGGAAAACAAACAACAAAAATTGGTCATGTTAAAGAATGTGAGTCTGTGTTCATGCTAATTTAGAAGTCTAAAGAAACTTCTGTCACTACTATCTATCTGTAACCCATATTAAATGCTACTCAAAAACTGCCAAACGAAAAAGAAAGAAGACAGGTAAAATAGATTTTGTTATTTGTCATCGAGTCTGAACCAACTCACAGCTGATTCTTCACTGAGTTTTCAGAAGCTGTAGATCACACAGTAGGAGATTATTTCTCTTTCTCTTGCAGAGCAGGATTTGAACTGCCTGCCTTTTGGGTGGTAGCTCAACTCCTTACTACTAAACCATCAGCACTCCCTTAATAGCTATGAGATACCTTGAAGGTCCCAATAAAAAGCCTTAGCACATTTTCATTTACACAGAACAGAAGATGTCCAAATACCCTAATAAAACTAGCAATGTCACATCACCTCATATGATTTACCCTGTGCGGCTTTGGTGGCACAGTCACCAACTGTGTTACTAACCCAAGGGCTGCATATCTCAGGCAGCTGGAACCCACTGGTGGCTCTGAAGGAAGACAACGACAGGAGGTCTGCGCTCATTGCAATTTACAGCCGTGGAAACCCAACGTAGGGCCGCTATGAGTCAGAAAGCACTCAATGGCAGGAAGTGAGTGACTGTAGAATTCATCCTATGTAACCCTAAACTTACTGATTACCCAGAATCTACAAAAAAGGAAAACTAATTTTGGCATAAATGCTAGTCAACGTAACAAGAAAAATACGTTAAAATAAATTATAATCTTTCATGCAGAAGCTAGAAAATGCACAAGTAGGACTGAAAAAATTTGTTTTATCTAAATTAAAATGTTTGTTCACAGGGTCACTATGAGTCGTCTACGACTCGATGGCACCAGACAATAACAACGACAACAACAAAGAGAGAGCTATGTTGGCCTAGTGGAAAGGAAGTTATGCTATCAAGCCAAAGGTGGGTGATTTTCATCTGCAGCCCTCGGCCAGGTTCAAATTGTTTTCCTGTCAAACAATCTTCTAGGTGGTATAGCACTGGTCTGTGCGTTGCTGTACAGAGGTAACTCTTGTGATGCTGAAGACTGTGACAGTGATGTGCCAATCATGGTAATGGGTACCCATGGCGGACAGTGCTGGCTGGAGCTTCCCGACTAAAACAAGCCTGGAAATTATGTACAAACAGTGCTCAGGCTGTTCGTTCATAGGGTCGCTATGAGTCGTCTATGACTCGACGGCACCAAACAACAACAAATTAAAATGTGGTGAAGAAAATCAAATATATCATTGTCTATAAAAAGAATGAACACATCTTTCTCAGAGAACTACAGCCACAATGGTCCCTAAAAGAATGATGGTGATACTTTTTCTCAAATTCTTTTGGTATGTTCTCAGGAGGTGACAGTCTGAAGACATTATGTTTGGTAAAAAAGAGTCAGCAAAAAAAAGAGGAAGACCTCCAATAATAATAGCTGATTCAGTATCTATAAGACTGGGCTTTAACAGCAACACCTGTGAAGGGGCACAGTGCTAGACAGTATTATGTTGTATATCGGGGCACTATGCATTGAAACCAACTCAACAGCACTTAAGAAAAACTATTTAAAGACAGACATAAATACAAACTGAGTGAAATACTGTTGTTGTTAGGTGCTGTTAGGTGGAGTACAACTCACAGTGATGTGATGAACACTTATTGTCATCAAACGGAAAACAACTTTTAGCTGACCATCAGCTGATTTTCAGAGGCTGTAGATCACATGGAAGGAGACTGCTCTCCTTTCCCACACAGAGCAACTGGGGGATTTGAACTGTCTTTGGGCTGGTGAGGCAACTGCTTACCTAATAGGTCATCAGAGCTCTCTAAAAGCAGAACATTAAAATAGCGGTATATCACACTTTGCTTTTTTATTTAAAATAAAAAGAACTCTATCCATTTGTACCAAAATTTTCCATACAAAAACAGGTTTTACAAAATCTAACAAGAACTTACAGGCCTGTACTACACTAAATTTGGTATACCTCTACTGGAATTGCTTGTTTATCTATTTTATTCCTGTGTAGTTCTATGTTTTGCTTAATCGTTTATGTTGTAGATTTAATTAATTTAATACCATTTCAACTTACTTCGATGTATGGAGTAATACAGAATGTAAAAGAGAAAATTAAAAATAGACCTGACATTCAAAGATTGAAACTCATCCTCACACACACGAAATCCAATTTGAACACAATGCTATTTATATACTCTTAAAAAGCAGTTCCATCCTTCAATCAGTACTGAGTAAATGAAAAATGGTTTTTCATTTTGATTTATGAGATATTTGAATTTATAATAGAGTTTAAAAAGGCCTTCAGTCTAGTCTCAGTATATAAAACAAAGGAAGGATGTACTTAGCATCATTAAGACATTTAGCAGTGCAACAATGAATGAATGAATGGAAATTCAAGGTCTCTGTAAATTTTCATTAAAATTAATAATTAAAAAATGCAAAAAGGGTATTTACTGGGAATTAAAAAAAAAGATATTTAGCAAGGCAGTTTTTAATGAAAGGTGAGGGAAACTGAAGCCGGAATTTCCACATTTAGTTCAGAATCACACTTACTTTGTTAACAAACATTCACCACCCACTTACTTGGTAAAATTAACATTAAACACTAAATAGTGAAGAAATGGTATGTGGGTGCACTCTACTATTTTACTGAAGTACCTACTGAGTTAAGAACTCTTAGGATCTTACATGCAAGTTTCCAAACAGGTTACAATAATTATAATTCAGGCATGTGTAATCTGTATCAAACTTAAACTATGCCCCCAGTACCTGTCAATGAGGAAGCATTAACCTAACACCTCAACAGTATATGACATGATTATCTTTTGGGCTTAAACTTTGTCTAAGCAGTGGGAAAACTGTTTTCACAAAGGGTCATTTAGACCATGGATGTCAAACTATATCCCATGGCCTGTATTTATTTAACCTAAAAACTAAGACTGGCCCTTAGATTTTTATATGGCTGGGGTAGAGGGGAAAGCAAAAGAATACTATTTTATTTTTTCTGAAAATTATATGAAACTCAAATTTAAATGCCCACAAATCTTATTAGAGCCCACTCAAGTTCATTCACTTGCCCTGTGCATCGCTGTTTTCACACTAATGCAGAAGCTAAACGGTTGACTTCATGGTCCACAAATCTAAAATTATTTCTTTTATGGCTCTTTATTTACCAACCCCTAATTTAGACCAGAGATATATGGAATGTTGCAGGTTAGAAAATTACAAACATGCTTAAAAATAAATGTCTTGTTTTTGCTTTTACGGAATGGCTTATTTTAAATTTTTTTCTGGTCTAAAGAACACAATACATCCTTTCAGGAACTGACACTACAGAGCTCCTGCAGCACAGTGAGAAACACATCAGGCTGCCAACTGAGGCTGGTGATCTAACTGAGACACACTGCAGGAGAAAGATGGGTTGTCTTCTGTTCTACACAGCCTTACAGGGCTGCTAACTTGAGCCGGAGTCAAGTCAATGACGAGTGAGTTACCACATGCACAGAAGATAATTCCAAAGCACGCAAGAACTATACTAGAGATAATCATGAGTCAACGTCTTTCATTTCACCATTTTTTCCTCTCCTAGAGCATCAACTTTTTGGTTTTTGCTAAAAAATATTTTCCTTTTATGGAATGCTGGTGGCTTAGTGACAAGCAGGTGTGTGGCACCTCTATGCAAAAAAACAAAAACAAAAATCCAAAACCCCAGCATTTTCTCCTTGTGCAATTTATTGCCTTTCAAAACCCACTAGAGTGTCAGTTATGAGTCGGTTCCAACTTGATGATAGATAACATAACCTAGTAACATTCTCCTTTTGCTAATACTTCATCTAGAAAGCAGGTAAACAACAAAGCTAATGATATTTATTCTTTTTAATACATCAGTAATTAGGTAAAGTGAAAATTAAAAAACACTAACACTAAAACATCTAAAATTTAGAACAGTAACAATCCTATTACCATTGGATTAACAATTTCTCTTAGGGTTATGTGTCATTTAGAAAATCTTTTTCAGGAAAAGAAAACAGCCATGAAGGTAAATGTTATTTCAAAAATGCTTACCCTTACGGAATTCCTCTGGGTTTCCCCCACAGTAAGTAACTTCAGAGTTCTCAAACCAAGCAACTCATTTATAAAAACAGGTCAATACAAGACAAATTCCAAAGGAAAATATGCTGATATTTTAAAACTAAAATGTCAGCTTTGAACAGGATCACAAAACTACAAGATTCCAGAGGCAAAGGAGAAAACCCAATGCCTGTTAAACGGTATCAGGGAAAAGGGACACAGGAATACTTGAGATATACTTGAAGGCTTCACCAATAGAAGGGTTTTTTATTTTCTGGGTTAAGAAAAGCAGGGAATGAGATGAGAGAGGACAGACAGGACTGAAAAAATCCACTCAATTAACTAGAAAGATCTGAAACCCTTACTGAAAGCTGTATGTATTTAGAGTTAAATCCAACTCAACTTAAGTCATGGAACCAACTCACAGCAACTTTTCTGCTGCAAATCGCACAGGAGACTTTCCACATTTCTCCCATGGAACTGCTGGTGGAGCTGAACCACCAGAGGTGCCAACTTCAGGTTAGCAGTGCAACTCTTTCTGGACTATGCACTAGAGCTTCTTACCCAAGTTACAAAGGTGGCAAAATGACACACGCAACCTCCTACAAAGCTATGATTCATAATCATTACTTTAAATGCAAGAATAAAAATTTTAAAAATTGAGAAGCTGGTAGAATCTCCAGACTTATTTCCCAACTGTTAACTTACCTTCTGTCTTTCCATTCTTCAACATATGTACTAGTCCAGAATTCTCCATTTCTACTATAGTCTTCATGTGCTTGGAAATTAGTTCCCTTTCAACTACTTTTACAATTGGCTCTTCAGTTGATTTGTCAAGGCAGTGCATCACCCGTTCTATTTCTTCATTAATTCTAGCTTCTACTTTCTTTATATATACTGAAGCACTGTTTTCTGCTAAGAATTTCTGGCTTTCCATCTGTAATGAAGAAGTATGAATTAAAACAAACCAAAACTCACTGATGCACAATGCATTCCTACTTATAATTGGGCCTTTACAGAGTTCAAACTCACTCAGAAGCTCTAGGGAAGTCTATTTGCTTCCATAAATATCACCGCTCAGCTTTATAACATTATAGAGTTGTCCTGAGTTAGAATCATTGAAAGGCAGCAACAGGTTTGTCTTCTTCCTCAGCAACTGACCCACCATGGTGTTTAAATTATAAACCAGTCAGGTTATCAAACTCATGACTAACATTTTAAAATTTCTTAACAGATTTTTTTATAAAAAGGTGTTGCCTTTGAGTTGATTCTGACTCACAGTGATGTTTGTTGGTGCTGTTAGGTGCCATCCAGCTGAGTACAACTCACAGGGACTCTATGAACCAAAGATCTGAACGCCGCCTTACCCTGTACATTCCTCAGGATTTGACTAATATACTCTGATTAACATAATCTGAATTATAGCCTTTAAAGTATTATGTATATAAGACAAAATATTATCTTTCAAGTACTATTTTTTAAACACTGCCAATTAATTCAAACAGCAAAAGTTAACATAACCAGTAATAAGGGTCAAATGGTACAGAATCAAACATTTCACTTATTCAGAGCGGGATTTTTTTTTTTTTTTTCTTGTAAAATAGGTTAATAATGGTTAAGAAGTATTATTATAAAGTTTTGTTGGCATACAACTGATTGCTAAAATTCTGTCATCTCTTTCAACCCATCTCAAAAGGATTCCAAGAACAATGTAAACTGAAAAACTGAGCTTTAATTATGCCAACTGATACATTAGCCTTATAGGTACTTACCTAACTACTACTACCTCAATTTATTTTAACTACTTTGAAAGCAGCATTAACAGATTTTAAAATTGAAATAAATAATCATTAAACAAAAACCAATAAAAGACATTTTGATAAAAACTATGCTTTGGACATGTTTTCAGGAAGGACTGTGCTCAGAAGAGGACATCCTCATGCTTGAAAAGTAGAGATTCAGAGAGATGGTCAATGAGATGCACCGAAGCAGGGATGACAACAGGCTCAAGCACCACAGATGGTGAGGGTAGCAGCATGGGCAGGGCTTCTTATTCCCTGGGACATCAGCTGAATAACATTTTCCAGTTTATTAATAAAAATTTCAAAGTTTGGAAATAATGATGTTCCTAAGGATAGATGTTATTATTAATATAAACAACAATCTTGTATATCATCTTTCTACTCAGTAATAAGAAAAATATACTTATATGAAAATCAGGACACATCAAGTCTTGACTGTCAATTTACCTAGTAGTATTTATATAGTGAAACTAATAGTATTAATATACTGAATATGCTCTAAATTATTACTTCTTAATGCATAGTCCAGGCTTATCACTGTGGGTCAAGACACTAAAATTGACTTCCATTTTTATATACATCTAAAGACTTTTACGAGGTACCTGCTGAATTATCAAGAATTCCTTTTTTAAATTGTGATTTGAATGAAGTTTTACAAAAAAAGCATATTAATTTTTAATTCATAGTTTAAAGACATTCATTTCTATGAAACTATGACAATGAAATTACACTTTTCCAATTTCCTTCTAATCTTGTAATTATGACTTCCATTAATCTAGCTGGAGTTCTTTGGGTCTTCTCTTTCTTTAAACACCCAAGAACGATTCTTAGCTTTTTGGAACAGTGCTTATAGTTACGTGCCCTTTTGTAATTTACTTAATTCATTTATTCCTCTAGATGTCTTGAACTAAGTGCTTTAGCATTATGTTTTGCTAAGCAGAAAAAGGAAAAAACATTTTCATGAAGAAAAATACTTTTACGAAAAAATATGGCTCTATAGAAACTTGTGAAGATGGTGCAGAATGAGGAAGTATTTTGTTAGACTGTACATGTCATACGCAGGGTCGCTGAGTTGGAACCAACTAAAGGGTCCCTAACTCCACAAGCCATGCAATGAAGTGCTTGTTCACAGTTGGTGTTAAGTGCCCTCCAGTCGAAACGACCCACAGCAACCCTATGAACAATAGATCTGAACCCTGTCCTGTCCCATTCGCATACTTCCTGATTATGAATGACAGAAAAATTGTCATTAATACGGATTTGGGGGTTACAAATAAATTTCAAAGAGCATGCAAAATACAGAATTTGTGAATAATGAGAATAAACTTTAATACATAATAAAATAGTAAGGTTACTTCTAGGCTTGAAGGTCAATTTTTTAATAACAAAAAATTCATTTCTGCCCCAAGAATTTCAATATATCAAGCTGAGTGAGAGAAGTCAGTCACTGACGGACAATTATAATACATTATTATAAAAAAAGTTAAGGAAAGATTTACACAAAATAAAATCATAATGGATGGTTACCAGGAATAAGTGGATAGAGGGGTAAAATCTAATAAACAGAAATGCTGAGAAAGGTAAAAGAAAAAGAAGGTTAGATTAAAACAAAGCTAAAATCATTAACAGGATGGTTATCAGGGGTGAGTGGGGAGGAAAAGGAGATTAAAAACTAATAAATAGATAATGCGAGTTAAAGAAAAAGCAATATACCTAGGGAGCTGATCAGAAATTGTAAATCATGTTGCCATTGTTAGGTGTCGCTGAGTCAAGTATGACACAAAGTGACACTATGAACAACAGATTTGAACCCTGTCCTATACTATGCCATCCTCATCATCTTTGACATACTCGGGCCCACTGGTGCAGTCACCATGTCAATCCATCTCAGTGAAGGTCTGTCTTCCTCTAAGAAAATGAACATCTTCAATTATCAAAATGTGACTGATTGAATGAATAATCAATGAGCTGTCAACTTTCACTCTCACACACACAAAAAACAGCAAAGCCTTCAATACAGTGTTGTTGCTCTTGATTGCCACTGAGTTGAGCACAACTCTTAACGACCCTATGAACAAAAGACATTTTATTATCTTTTAACTACTGTTTCTCAAAGTTCATATATATTATCAAATCCAATACATTATCAGTTAGGTTTTTTTAACTAAAATGTCAGAACACTGGATAGGTGTGATGAAAGAAAAGCATCTACACCCCTCACTCTCAGATGGAAGGTCAAAATGTTCAAATTAGGAACTACATTCCAGAGCTTTCAGAACATTTTAAATGTTTGTTTATATCCTCTGATTACCTGAAAAAATTCTGCAGACATTTCCAAAAAGGGAGCCTCAAAATCTTCTTCATAGACCGATCTTCCTTCAAGACCTAGTATCATTAACATCTGGCAAGCATTTCTTATTGCGCCTCTGTGAAAAGAAGTTACACCACTTAACAATCAAATTACTCAGTCATGTAAAAAAACCAACACAAAAAAAACACCACCCCAAAACAAAACAAAAAAAAAACAACACAGAAGTAGCAAGAAATACTTTAAGAATACTTAACATTTATCAATGAATTCTCTTCCACAGGCAAAATATTAATGGAATAAGGATTTAAGGCAATTTTATAACAGAAAAGCATTAACTATTGTTCACATCTCCTTATAACTAAAGACTTTCAAAGGAAGTGGCTTACAATGCTCAAATAGTTCTATCTGTATATTTAAAACGAAAAAGAAAATTGGTCATTTTATAAGGGAGTAAGGACAAGTAAGTGAGGGAGAGTGATGGCTGTACTGCCCAGCAGGGGAACAACAGGGGCTACTCCTAGGCAATGCCATTTTCCCCCATTAAATAGTCTGAGCAATTTTGACCAAGCATTAAAGTAAAAGCAGTAAGAATTTTTTTTTTAAATCTAACATCTATAAGAAAAACAGAAACCTTTAAGTTTTAAGTCACTTTAACCTTGAAATCATGGTAAAGTTTATTTGGGACGGGGGATGGGATGGGGTGAGGGTGGGGGATGGACCCTGAAGGGGAAGAGTAGTTCTTAATAATTTTAGTTGTTTTTGTTGCTAGGTGCTGTGATTTTAGATGAGTAAGTATTTAAGTGATAAAAGTAATTGTTAGGTGTTACCATTTTAGATGACAGTCCATATTTGATTTTTTAAAAAAAATGGTTAAAGAGTCTAGTCAAATGCCCTTAAATAAAAAGAACATAAAAATGCTATTTACACAGCAAGGAAGAAAACTCAGAGGGAAAAGAAAGAGATGATTACGGGCTGATTTTTTTTTAAAGTATGTTATGTAAAGGCTTAGGATAGTCTCTTCTGAAACTGTAACTTGCTGAATGTGAGCCAAATTTACTAGAATATTTGTAATTTCCTGGGCATTCAAACTTTCATTGATTTTAATAATACTATGATAGTGAATTGGCTCTCTTAACCATTTAAAACGAAAACTCCGTGAGTAAAAGGTTGATGACTGTACCTGTCTACAACTTCTCCTTTCCGCTCTCTTGCAATCATATCCAGCAGAGTCTGCCGCAGATGATCTCTAATACAGCCGTAACGAACAACTTGATCTCGGAAAATAATTAACCCCAAATTGTAGACATTCTCTACGTTATTCTGTTGCACATATACACGGTCCTGCAGAAAAAGATAAATCTAATGAACAAAACACAATTCATACAAACAAAATATAATCAAAAGCTACTATGAATAAAAGGAAATAAAATTCCAAAATGTCACCTGTCAGTAGATTCAAACCCTCATAGGCAATACAGAACTTTCTAGTACTTTACAAATTATAGTAAAATATATTCTGCCCCCTCCTCCTTTCTGACTGTCACTGAGTCTGAACCAACTCATTTACAACTAACCCCCCAATAGTTTTCTAAGGCTATAAAGCACAAGGGAGGAGACTGCTCATCTTTCTCCCACAGAGCGGCCGATGAATTCGACCTACCAGAGGCAATACTGTTGGGTTAACAGTTTACTCCTTACTATGCCACTAGAGCCCCCTTTAATAGTATGTATATTTTTAAATTTACTATTTTTACATCAATGAAACAAATAATGCTTATACAGAGTCAAACAATTACCTAAAGGAAAAACAGGAGGGAGAAAAGCAAGCATTAGACCTAGAAAGATAAAAATGAGGAAAAAGGAAACAAAGAGATTATCCACAAAGCCATTATCATACCCAAACAGACTGTTTTCCTACTTTCTTGAACGCAGGACTGAAAGACCACATAAAACAAGATTACTAGCTTTGATCTTATTAAAATTATCACCAAAATGATGATAGGGACTTGACTTCATAAAGCTTAGATAATACAGAATTGATGGCTATAAACTTTTTTTTTTTTTTTTTGTACATTACCTGATAATTTGTATGTAAAACATCAAAATAAAGACAAAACCACTGTGTTTAATCCTTAAAAGGATTGGTAAAAATTCTCAAAAGAATTCCCTTGTTTTCTTAACTTGGGCTCTCTCTGGTGTTTGTAGGTCTATTAAAAGCCTTCATGCTGTAAATACTCTGGGTGAAGGAGCCATAGCTTTTATGAGACTCTTAAAGCCATTCATAGTCTAAGAACATGGCAAATGGTAACCTTTGGATCATGCATTTGTATGAATTTCATTCATCACAAGCAATAACAAAACCACCTACAACATGAACATAACAGAAGTTCTATCGTATTAGCTTGCATTTAACCTGGCACTGAACAACCTTTAGACGAATTTTAACGTAATTCTTCATATACAGCCCTCCTTATATATGAGTATTGCTCCCAACCTTCTTTGACTCAACAGTGCACACAAGATGACTATAAAGAAAGTAGCTCTTTTACTAGCATCTTTGATGCTAATATTTCTGTTCTCATAATCTGAGCACATGGTTCATGATTTCAGATCCAGACAGCAAATTTACTGAACTGAAAATTTCCCACAATGGCTATCCCCTAACTTCCCACTTAAACTTCCAAGCTCCTAAATGCCCCTAATCACGTTGTTTCTTTGCTGGCTGCCATCTTTGCTCTTGATCCTCAGTGTGACTAGGAAGCTAAGTTAGCCTCATTCTGGGATTAAAATCAAACGCATCAATTAAAATCTGGTGTAAACAGAACAATTTAAAAAGCAACTGCAACTCTATTATTGCTTTAGTTAACATTTTATAAACTTGATTTTTTCCAGTTCTAAATATATACAGTACAAAAAGGTGCCATAAATTAAAAATGCTTATCTATTGTATCAATACCAGAGCCTGCTAGATTGAAATACAAAAAAACCCAACAAACCAAAAAAAGCACACACATTATATATCAAAAACCAGATAAATGTTCATTCAGACTAAGACCTTTTGACTGAACTTCAAAACCAAGTCTTTCTTACACAAATCATATATATAACATACTCACTTATATTTTCACCAAGTTAGTGCACTAACAAGAAACATTCAAGAAGTAACTGGAATGTAAGTTTCACATTTTTACAATTTCCACTCCAAGATTTTAAACTCTACAAATGTAATTCAAAGTAATATTTAGTGGTTCACCTCTAGCGATTCCGTCAGAAGCCGGAAGGTAGGCAGTCAGGAGTAGGTTCATAATACATGGTACATAATAACAAGACACGAACTGCCTGTTTTCTACAAAGCCATGTACCATTTACTTTTTTGAATGGAAAAAAAATGTAATAGTGGAAAAAATACTAAATATGGAGACAGGAATTCTATGATCCTTATTTCTGGCTTTGTGACCCTAAGTAAATTATTCTGGTTCAGGTAAGTCAAGAAAACTGGTAAAAATAATCACTAAAACGCGAATATAATAATTTCCTAAAATGCTTCACTGTGACTGAAATCTAATGCATAATGGAGATTAAGGATACATTTCACCATGAACTTCTTTCCCCATGCATTAATTAATTCTTTCCTGGCCTTTACCTGTCTTCAGCATTGTTATACTACGGAAAACAGGTGCAATCTGTAACCTTATGGCTTACAGTGTCTGCTAACCCAAAGGCTCTGGCAAAAAGACAGAAAAGGGATCAGGTGCAGCTGGTGAATTGCTCAGCTAAACTGTGTAGAAAAAGAGAAACTGATGCTTTAATAAAAGAAGCCAGGTAGTGGGATGGAACACATACATAGTTTTAGTGTGTGCACACAGTAGGATAACCAGAAAGAAGTGAAAAAAATGGGGTATAGGAGCTAAACTTTGTCTTTTTAAGACTTTTGAAGTGTAATGACTACAAAGTACACTAGAATGCTCCATGTAGGCAAAGATGATGAAGCTTCATCACACATCTTAGACGTGCTGCTAGAAGAGGTTACTCCTTGGAGAGGAGTATCATGCTTCAAAAGGTGGATTGACAGTGATTTCAGCAATGGGCTTGAGTGCTTCAGAGATTGTGAGGCTGGAACAGGGCAGGACAAGTTCAGACCTTCTGTTAATAGGGTTGCTATGTGACCTATCAATAACAACGAACTGCCATTTATAGTGTTTGAGATATCTGGATAGGTGCATAATTGCCATCAAGTCAAAGTTATACATGCAAACACTCCTGTTAAACAGCAATGCATGAATACAGTGTATCAGAAAGAATTCTGCTCTCCAGTGCACAGCATTTCTATAATGATGGATGCTAAGAGGAATTCTCTGCTAAAATAAGTACCTGCCTGTGCTTATTTAGAACAGTAATAATAATGGAGCTTTAAGAATTTGAACTTTTGTAGGGCTTTTATGTTTGCATGGGAACATTTAAAAAATAAACAACAAAATAGGAACTCACACAAACAAGGCCTTAGCTCTAGATAACTCCTAAATAGCTAAATATAATCTTAATTGCAGACAAGAAAAGACGAGCAGCCAAAAGAGATATTAAATAGTAACAAAGAACTTAACAAATCTTTTACTCTCAGGCTTTGACCAAAACATAGTTTGTATTACTTCAATGTTAAGTCACCCATCTATTGTAGAGAGCTGAGCACAGTTAGGATGGTTCATGGATAGAATCTCCTTTTGTCTTTTTAAAGACAAAAGCACAAGACTTAATGCTCTGAAAAACTGATTTGAATGCTTAATATCAAAGTCAAAAAGCCAGATTTACATAAGAGGGTGTGTATTTTACCACCAGAAAAAAAAAAATCACATTTTTCATTTCTATTTTCTCGATTCTCTCAGCAAGTTGCCTCTCCTAATCCTGGCAAACCTGCAGTGGGCAAGAATCTTGGCAGGTCACGTGAAATTTGGGTGAAAGGAAATTATTAATGATAGAAATTTTCTTAACTCCACTTTTCACAGAGCCGATAGAAATCTGACTGCAATTACATTTTAAATTGCCCAAGTAGGACAGGTAAGCCCCCTGGAAGTTTCGGTTAGTACTGAGTTTTAAGTAAAACTCCTGCCTACTCATCTCGGCCTCTAAGGGGCACCTTTGCAGTACTCCTCTTAGATTTGTTGGTTCTCTTTTGGTTGCTCATGGGTTATTATGGCTGAGTGTAAGGATGAGACGCAGGCTAGAGCTTTGTTCACAGGGTGATTACTCACTGTTTATGCTGTCTACTCATGGCCCAGGGTTGTGCTCTGCCAGCAGACAAGAGAGCTCTGGCCTACACGGTGATGGACTCTACAAGACCACACACAGAAAGCCCCATTCCTCCCAGTAATTTAGGATTACCTTTCCCTGTAATAGAGAACTCAAAATCCAACCAATTACCTAAATAATTAGCATGCAAAATAAATAAAATTCTGCATACAAAAGAATGCACTGAGTTAGGAAGAGACAATACCCATTAAGTAGAACTCTTAAGAAGACTAACCCTGTATAAAACGGTTATCTTTTTAAATGGGCCAAAACAGCTTCATTACTCAGGAAATCACATTAGAAGCAAAATTAAAATGGGGGGGGGGGAAGATACATTTTTACCACAACAAGATAAAGTTAAACAATCCAACTGAAAAATGGGCACAGGATATGAACAGACACTTCACCGAAGAAGACATTCAGATGGCTAACAAGCACATGAAGACATGTTCAAAATCTCAAGTTCTAAGAGAGATGCAAATCAAAACAACTATGAGATTTCATCTCACCCCAGTAAGAATGGTAAAATTCAATACAACAGCAAGCAACAAATGCTGGCGAGACTGTGGAGAAACTGGAATCCTTATTCACTGTTGGTGGGAGCGGAAGGAGATACGGCGCTTTCTCAAAAAGTTGCAAATAGAGATACCATTTGACCGAGCAATTCCATTACTGGGAATATACCCCAAAGAGACCATAAGTGACATCCATGCACATATATGCACACCCATATTTATCGCAGCTTTGTTCACAATAGCAAAGAGATGGAAGTAACCAAAGAGCTCATCTACAAATGAATGGACAGAGAAGCTGTGGTATATTCACACAATAGAATACTATGCTGCATTGAAAAATAAGGAACACATGAAATATTATTCAAAATGGGTGACCCTGGAGGACATTATGCTGAGTGAAATATCTCAGTCACAAAAGGACAAATACTGCATAGTGCCACTGCTGTAAAAGAGAACTGACATCAGGGTTGGAAGGAGACTGAGAAAGATGGGATAAATAATGTATACTGCATTGAAACAGATGAGGGAGAAAACTGTTTAAAA